GCACGCGCCACGCCTACTGCTTCTCAGGGATCTTTAATGTGCCATTCGTGTCGGTTAACGAACCATCTGGGAGAAGGAGAACCAGTGGTGGGCTTACTCTGTCCCTTTTGAAACAGCCTAGACTGGTTGCACTATATCAACTATACCTGCCACTTCACATTTTCCCATGTGAAAAGTAGAAACCTCCGGTCTACTATCACAGAGTGTGCTTTTACTCGTTTCAGGACTAGGGTAGGGGGCAGGGTACATGAATTGAGAAGAATAAACAATTTAGAAAATTTCTCTCGAGGCTCGGTACATACGATTCCCGCGACTATGCCACCAGGAAGACTCCCTGATGGATTTAGCGGTATGCTTAACGGTGCTTGGCCCTGAAGCTGAGAGATATTGTGAAAAAGTGGAAAGTGTGTGCAGTTCATAAATTCAAAACAGCGGTAAGAATTACTCGGGACAAGCGATTACCGTGTGAATGTTCCCGATCTCCACTACCAGAGTTTCCAAAAGGGAAATAAGGCGTCCGGCACTAGTCCACCTCGAATTTTCCTATTCACTGGTTGAACTGAGACCTTGGCGGAACTGAGGAAACACTCTGGTTGGGGGATGGTTAACTGGTAGACAAACTCGAGAACGAAATGCTAATTTCAGGTCGTCGAACTCGGTGATACATTGTTCATTGTTCTTCGCAAGAAGCCGCTGATATTTCTACATTATTATCACCACGCAGCTGTACTCATCTATACAGTACACTCAGGTAATACAAATTACAGTAATACAAACGTCACGGATCATTGAATTAATCGTCACACATTTTGCGGAGTTCTCTGTCTATAGGCAAAGAAGTGATTAATGAGCTAACACACTCTCCTGACTGAACTAAGTGTCTGATTCAATAATTCAATGACTTCGCTGATTCCGTAACACCATGCTCCATTTATTTTTGTGAATTCAATGACATGCAGATAGGATACGCCCCTTCTCCACCTACAACATATTTATCTTTTGTTAGTAGAAGACATAGAAGAACAGTTCTTTCGCTGCTGTAAATTCAACGATCGACTCTCTCATGTGACCTTCACTTCGGCACGTAGTCGAGCGAAGTTGGAACAGGTTCAAAAAAGCAGCATTGGACGGGTCTCGAACCTGACCAATGATCGCATCTCGATGATTCGGCCAACCACGTCTTGCAACTCTTTCACAAATCGGGGATGTTAATTGCTGAGCCATAGTGTGACGTGACGACGTCGGCATTATTTTCTCTGGTAACCTTCCAATGGTACATGCTGCTGTGCTAATAATACCAAAAAAGTGGACGTTAAGAATAGCATTCTTGAGGTAAGACGCAACTGGTCCCACTCTACTACCAAGCGCGTTAGCCATGTGCGAGGAAAATGGGTTCGCAGTTGCAGTAGTGTGCCACTTTCTCCGCTCAAATGTGCGTGGGAACGGGGATGTAGGGTAGTGGAGCGCGAGCAGAGTGTCGACCCATAACCGCGCCACCTTCGATCAGCGGTGGAAAACAATCAGGTGTGAGTGAGCGCAGACAAGTAGCGCGTCAGGCTATGGCTAGGCACCTAGCGGGCCGTACGGCACCGCCGATGAGTATCGAGATGGCATGCGGGCATCACTTCCCTCCAGACCCATTCCCGTAGCACCTCTTAATCGAGGAACGTTTCACGCTGATACAGTCCTTGCAACGGCCCATCCGAACCATATAAGGATCAGGGCCCTGCAGTGTGAATGTGCAGTTTTATTTGGAGTGGATTTTTTCAACCAGAAGGCTGCACAGTCAATAGCGTAATCCTTGGAAAATGGACGTCCGCTACCGCCCGAAACCGGTCAGGCATGTTAGCTCCGTGTTCGTCTTGGGGTGTGGGTTTCTGCCCGTTTGCAATCGATCGTTGCTGCTTTGGGTGTTCATTGAGTTGTGAGAAAGTGGCTGGCGCCGCACCAAAACAAATACTGCGCCGACACGCCCCGACTAATCTCGGTGATAGTGTGCCAGAAAACACCAGCTTACTAAGCTGATGGTTCGTTGGTTTCAAATGTCGATAAAGTCCTTGCAGACATCGAAAGAGGAGGTTGTTTGGCTTTTCCCAAGTCGTTTTGGTACTGTGTTTGCTGACTGCACTATTCATCATATTTTAAAACACCCATTGCTGACCCGTAGTCTCTTCTTCTAACCGTACTATAAGATTACAACTTTCTGTCTCCAGTGCGAGGCACATCATCGCGTTGAGGAAACTTCCTGCTCGATACTACTTTTTCCTCACATCTTCACCTTTTGACGATGCCACTTTCACAAGTTACTTACCATCTTCCCGAAGCTCGAAGATCAAAATTCCTTAAGATTTCCGCGGAATTTTGCTGCCGGATTGAAGGGGAGGCGTGTTTAGAACGAGGGGACCAACCCTGGGGAGGGGGCACAGCTTGCATCTATGTTCCATTTGCTTTGGACTGCCTTCTATATCCAATTATGATCCTTCTTTGCGACCTCTTCGAGTGTCTCTTCAGTCTTCAGTGGGACTGTCGATTTCTCTTTTCTTCTGACTTCTTCACTTGATATGGAAGGACAAGCAAACAAGTGAACAGACGTAGGGCTTCATACAAATCGAGAATACCTCTCTTGCTCACAGCAGTCCTTTGCAGAGCGCAACTGGTAATCCATCCTTCTCGAAGTATTCTTGCCGTGAAAGGTGGGGGTTTGAACTGCCCACTCATTTTCGCTATTTCAAAGATTGCTTACGATTCGCAATCTCGATTCGGACAGCAAAAAGCAATCCGGTCGCCATCTTACGACGGAATGCCCGATCGTCCCCATTGGGTTCAGGACACCATGGAATTTGTTTCAACCGTTTCTGGAATATATGCGCCAAGTTTTGCATGATTGGTTGCTAATTCTTTTGCACAACGGAAGGTCGTGTTGTTCCTAATTGTAATAGTTCTTCAGACAAAACAGGATCAGGTTCCACTGTTGGAACTTCCATTGTTGGAATAAAAAGTAGAGCGGGAAAGATAGAATGATAGTTGGGAAGATGCCTTTTTCTGTTTTAAATGCGCTAATACTTCCCGCACCGATTTCTACCGGTTTCACGGTGCATTATCGCGAGGAGGAAAGTTTTTGTTCAGCACAACAATTCCCTTGACATTCGTCAAGCGGGGTGAGGTCCACCCCTCTGATCAACCACTCTCGATATCCCAGAGATGCCCCGCGGCTGCGCCCTTCGACAGAACGTCTCGGCCGCATTTCTGGAGGGGTACTGCAGTTTCAGAACAACTGGAAACATGACTTTGCCCAGTACAAGTGGGACAACACTTGTATCCAATGCAAATATCCCACAATCAACGCATCCTCCTCTACGTTCAAGTAAAGCTCGCTGCCACTCCATCGCTGGGATGTGGGGTGTGTTAAAGTAGAGATATTGTCGCCCCCTCACGACTGGGGAGGCTATACAACGATAGTGTGCGCAAACGAACGAAAGCTATCGCTCAAAAAAATCTCGTAGGTCCGCGAACACGGCGGACCTTTTCTGCCAGCATTGTGAATTCTACAGCCATAAATTACTTTTGAAACAGTTGAATGTGACTGAGGAACTCCTCTCTTGTCGCTCTCCTTTTTTGCAGATCAGCGAGCACATAGGAAAACGCACGAACTTCACAATGCACTAGTCCTTTTATGAGAGTGAAGGGTAGCACATCTAGCAACACTCAAAGATCTCGATCGGATTTCCGTTACAATGAGCTCAACGTTAAAGCGCAATAGTTAATGTGCTTCATGATTCGTGTCCTCCCCAGTGGGAAATTTTCCTATTCAAGGTGATAGGGAAATTCTCCTATTC